CTGCAAAAACCAAAAATTTCTTCTCCACTGCTGTTACAAAATGGGATGTTGATTTCTATGTCAAAGTGGATGATGATGTCCATGTCAATTTGGGTATACACTATCTCTTTTCATTTTCTTTTCTTGTTACATTCTTTCTTCATTTTTTCCCAATTTTGGGTAGCTTTTGTCAATTTTGAATTTGCTAAGTGATGCAGAGTGCATAAAACTGTTATAACCCTACCACTATTATATATTTTCCAAAAAAATTCATAAGTTTGCAGGCTTTGAAAAAGAGATTTCCTCTTAAGATGGATTTATTTTTCTATAGGTTGTTGAGTTTGCCCTGGCTTTGCAGGAAGCTAGGTGCTTTTCTGTTGTTCTGGAATGTGTGCTTACACCTGTTACTGCTGCTGCTGCAACATTTTCTCTTCGAATCCTTACAATTGGTATTGGGGTAGGGCCTTTCTGTATTGGCCAAGTTAATTGATTCTTTAGCTCTCTCTACTGCTCCTAATAATGAATTAGACTTGACTAGCTTGTGTTGTGTATAATCTTTTTGCTTTCATTTGTACAAATAATTTGCTATCTAATCTTGTAATTTGTTTTTCAAGTACTAAAGTGGACATTTTAGTGATATCATGTGTTCAGATATTGAGTTTACTTATGTAATGAAATTTGAATTTGCTTTTCTTCTCTCTCCCGCCCTCTCTCTCTCTCTCTCTCTCTCTCTCAATATATATATATATATATTAAAAATAACCTTTTACGACATACAAAATTATGCTGTGAAAAGTGTAATAATTTATGACATGCAAGAAAATGTTGTAAAAGATTATATACAACATACAGAGTATGCTAGAAATAAACTAAAAATAACTTTTTACGACATACAAAATTACGTTGTGAAAAGTGTAATAATTTATGACATGCAAGAAAATGTTGTAAAAGATTATATACAACATACAGAGTATGCCAGAAATATACTAAAAATAACTTTTTACGACATACAAAATTATGTCGTGAAAAGTGTAATGATTTATGACATGCAAAAAAATGTCGTAAAAGATTATATACGGCATACATAATATGCCATAAACCTATTAAAACTAATATTCTACGGCATGCAAAATTATGCCATGGAAAGTATGATGATTTATGGCATGACAAAAATGTCGTAAAAAATTATATACGATATACAAAATATGTCATTAATGTTTAATTTATTACTTTTTACAACTTTACCTGCATGCCGTAAATGACACTCAGCTTTCCACGGCATGTCATATAACGGCATTTGTGTGCATGCCGTGAAAGAGTTTTTACAGCATGCATTGCAAGCCATAAAAATTCAATTTTGTTGTAGTGTGTGTTTGTTTTTTTTTAAAATCCATGTGTTGGAGTGTTTGTATTCTCTGGAATTAATCGTATTTTTTTGGTGTTGGCACTTACAGGGATGGGGGACAACTTAATGTTGTTGTGTTCGTACGGTGATCATAATGTTGCCGTCATGGTTGATACGACATTCACATATACCAAACTGATTAATCATCTATGTGAACAATTTGGGGGTGTGTGTCCGGGTTCGGTGTCTATGTTCTTCAGGATCGCCAGGTACAATAAATTCAACATGGACAACAAGTTGGACTTCCAAAACATGATGTGCCTTGCCAGGTCTTTCCAGGTGAATCACGTTGACGTCATTTAGAATTGGGCACGGACTCGTTGGTGGACAAACGCTGATGGGGCATCAGTGAGAATTCAAAAGGTGGACACATGTATGTGGAGGGTAATGGCGTGACAGAAGATGTGGGGAAAGATGATGACTTGTTACCTAATTTTTGCATGCATACGCAGAAGATGTTGTTGTCGGAACCATGGGCTGAAGGAATCAATAATGTGGGGCAGTGTTTTGAAGGTGGGGCGGCGGAATTTCGGAAAGTTCTCAGCAAATATGCTATTGAATATGGGTTCCAATTTAAGTTCAAGAAGAATGACTCAATTAGGATTACGGCGGTCTACATGTTTAGCGAGTCAAGGGGATGTCCGTGGTCTGTCCATGCTAGGGCGATGAATGTGAACGGGTTTTTTTACGTGAAGAAATGGGACAGCAAGCACACCTGCGGGGTTGTTGTGCATACTACAAATAATTCGAGGATGGGTTCCGAATTGGTTGCTGATGTTATAGCAGAATGCGTATGTGACAAGCCGCTAACACGCCCAACAGATGTAAAGCATCATTTCCAAAAAGATTACGGATTGTAGGTTAGTTATCGTGTAGCTCGGTTGGGGGTTGAGAAGGTGAGGGGGGAAATTTTCAGTGATCATTCTGCCTCGTTCGACCAATTGCGGTGATATAGCAATGCCATTATGGAATACAACCCAGGGAGTTATGTTATTCTAGATTTCGATACAGGCAACACATGTCAGTTCGATAGGCTTTTCATATCGTTTAAAGCATGTATTGATGGGTTCAATCAGTGTCGGCCACTGCTATTTTTGGATGGTACGTTCTTGAAAGGGAGATTCAAAGGCAACTTGCTCGCCACTACCGCCAAAGATAGCAACATAGGTTATGCGTGCTTACCAATTTTTTTTTGCATGTTGTAATGCTTCAATTTCTGTGCACTACATGGTTGGCACACAATTTTATAATGTCTTGCAACGTATCAAAAATCACTAAACTGGTGGTGCCACACAATTTTACAATGTTTTGCTTATGTCTTGCAGGGTTATTTCCAGTGGCGTTCGCAGTTGTCGATTCAGAGAATGCATCAAACTGGGAATAGTTTTTACAAAATCTTTCTAACATAGTTGATGGGTCCCGATCATTATCGTTTGTTTCAGATCAACATATTGGTCTCTTTGAATCCATACCTGTTATTTTTCCAACATCATACCATGCATTTTGTATACAACATTTGCAAAGGAATTTGAGAGATAGAATAAAATATGTCAACAACCCATACTGTATTGGGATGGTTAGTAAATTCCACAAATGTGCGTATGCACCAACCATGTCTAACTTCAACCAAAAGTTAGAACATTTTATACAATATGGCCGTCATTTCGCGACAAATTTCTTGAAGGATTTGGACCCACACCATTTGGCCAATGCGTATTTCATGTAATGATTGACCGCTTACTGCTAAATAAGTTTTCCCACACGAACGAGAAACACATTACACATGCCACTAGTTCATGTAACTGACATTTTTACAACAAATACGCAAGGGCACTCGATATGGAGAGATGTCATCTAATGCATCTAAATCGTTCAATAATTTGATAAATGAAGCACGACATTTACTAATAACCAGGTTGGTTGACGCAATCAGAATACAGATAATGAATTAGATGACGGATCGTCAGGGAGCGTCCATCACATGGACTAGAATGATATGTCCAAAAATGGAGTACAAATTGGATAAGGCATACAAGGAGGGTAGATCATGGACAGTCAGCCAGTCAAACAATGACGTGTACGAGGTCCACTCCCACCTATCTGTGTTGGTAGATATTGGGAAGCGTACGTGTTCATGTTTTCAGTGGCAAATAAATGGGTTACCGCGTGAACACGCAATGGTCGCCATCCGGAACAGTAGTACAGATTTGAACGATTTAGTTGATCCATATTTCCACATTTGCACATATCGGGCATCATATTCTCACACAATATACCCAATCTCGATAGTTGAGAAACCTGATATCAACCTAGATAAATATGTCATACTCCCCCTACTGTTCAGCGACCACCCGTGAAGCCAAAGAAGAAGAGAATACTGTCTAAAGGCGAGGAAGTACAACAAATCCGGTGTGGCCATCGTGGCCGTATGGGCAATCATAATAGGACGGCGTGCAAGGAACCAATTTAGCGTCATTCATTAATTTCGAGTCGTCACGTACTTATGTTTTATTTCGTATTTATTGCATTTTACATTTAAAAACATTTGATGTGCTGCATTATTCTGCCAACAGTTGCTTAGCTCGTTTTATAATAACTACAGTGACTCCTCTCGGATGTGTTCCCAAGTCACCAAACGTTTACATCCCATACAAAATTTGTTCCAGATATGTTCAACCCCACGCTCATTCTCGCGGACATTTTTTAAATGATCCGTTTATAACAATTATTACATCAACCAATAATAACAAAATTTTTGCTTTTGAGTTCTAACTCGGACACAACACATCCACACTAGATATGTTGTGAATTACGTTTTACAATTATCAAATTTCATAGCAAACAAATTAAACAAACACACTACAATTGTGTGTGTGTCTGCTATGGTGCATTTTTTGCAACCCCATAGAGTGTTGTTCACAACGACGACAACGTAATGTAAACAACTTGCCCATTGTGGGGTGGCACGAGCCCTCACTTTTTACTTCCCTGGTGTGTTCTGCCCACCAAAATCAGATTAACCACACAATGCTAATGCATGCTTGAGTATATGTACTGCAGAAAATGTTTGGGCATGTTCGTATAATTTGAAATCCAAACACGTGAGGGATCGATCGATCGAGATTTGTGATTGGGATTATTTGCTCCTAATGTAGCGGTCAATGTTGTTATGTGTTGCGCATTTAGCTTAATTGTTCTTTTCTGAATAACTTATTCCGAGTGAAAAATGTGACCATGCACAAACGTTAAAACCAACACGGGCAGCGCATGAACCTATTTTACAATTGCCAGATCATGCACTAGTGTTGCGTCACCCATTATAACATCATGTTCACACAGTACATTCATCACTTCTGAAGAATTTTGTATCCACAACAACTTCGCTGCAACTTAACTTTAACCTACTTAATACCATGCCACCACTAACAACATACATGACAACAACTTATTCACAGCCACATTATCAAAAAACCTACGCAATTTTCTAATACTTTTACCACCATACCAAACTGAAATGTAAAAAAGATTGCATACATCCAAAATCATGCACGTCACATGTTCACACAAGCATTCTGAAACCACAAAAATTAGGACATTGAAACCACCTACCAACATCAAAACAAACTATAATACTTTTACGACCATGCCAAATGGAAATGTAAAAAATGTCGCAGGTATCCAAAACCATGCACGTCCTATGTTCAAATAAACATTCTGAAACCACAAAAAATAAGGCATCAAAACCACCTACTAATATCAAAACAAACTAACTAAATTAATCCATGCTACACAATTGAAGCATCTTTTAATCCACGTACGGGGTCGCACACAAATGCCCTAACCATCGCGGCACGTGCACCGATGCAGTTGGTGTCTTTCATTGTCCTATCGATTGGAATGTGGTGTACATACTGCCGCATAATGTAGCACACAATGATTGCACAGTCCGGGTTGTTCATAAAACGTAAAAATGAATTAACCAAACAACAGATTCAACATGCTAGCCAACAATGAGAACGATGACCATATTATGTAAACGAAAAAAGGTTTAACATACCAATCTGGTCACTGTTGCGGGCAGTCCACGATAGATTCAATAAGTCCATCTCCTTCCTGTGTGTCAACTACGCCTCCATGTATGGATGCCTGACAAGTTCGCCTCACATAGGTCACCACATGATCTCTCTGCAACACACAATAAAATAAAATGACACATATCACCAATTCAACCATGCCCCCCCCCATGAACTAACAAATGGTCTGTCTGGAGCACCAGCCACCCTGTACAAACCTAGAATTATTTTATTTACAGTTAATGAATGTACCAAAACCATCGCTTCTTTGTAGTGTATGTCTATGCTGTTGTTACGGGGCCTCAACGAGTTGTAATGTTTCCAAACACCATCTTCCATGTTGTAAACAACCAGCGTCCAGTGTGATTTGTAACACACTGGGAAATATATGTATCTAACGTCAGCAGCGGCGCGCATGTGGGTCTCCAGGTACTTATCCCTCAACGTCGCGCTTACATGTTTCACCATGTCCTGAACGCATACAAAACCACAAAACATGAGTTGAGGTGAAATGAATTGACTTAAAATGAATTGAGATAAAATGGATTGAGATATAAAACTTAGCTTAAAATGAATTGAGATAAAATGGATTGAGATATAAAACTTGGCATATTAGGATCTTGTAGAATATGAATGATTTTATCACAGGCATTGTATATGCACACTATACTTATAACTTTGTTAAGATTTATATATTGTGTTAAATTGTTTCTATTGGCCTTTGGCTCACGCTACTTGGGAAAAATCATTTTCAAATGCTGGTGATATACCTCCGCCAAGGACTTAGCTTAGGAGGATTGTGGAGCTAAATGCTCAATTTCTATTTATTTTGTATTTACTCTTCTACAAGCCTAGGGCTTTATTTGTATTGAGCTTATGACTCATTTTATTGTAACCAAGCACGGTCTTGGAAAGATGTAAGCCAATGGGACATATGAATATTTGTTTAGCTTTCATTCTTTATTATGTCTTGTAACACATGTTGTAGATTCAGGATGAACGATTTATGAATGTATAACACATGTGTCACCTTTTGTATATTAACTCTGATTAATGAAAGCTTCTTGTTGTATCTATATCACTTTGTACTAGTGTTTAGAGTTGGATTATTGTAATTATTTTTGGGGCATTACAACTTGGTATCAGATCGTACTAGGTTTGAATACTTTGGTTACGTAAGAAGTGGTTAGTACCACAATGGGTTTATCTCGTTTGACAAAGATGTTTATATGTTTGTAATGCTATATGATAACATGTTTATGTGATTATATGGGTATGGGATCTAATTTCTAGGATATTAGTCGAGTCTACGGGTTTCTAGGAGTCCTATTAGAAAGGCACTTGATCACTGCTGTTTCTAATTGGCACTCTGGTAATGCCACGGGACGGTCATTATTCGGGAATGAAATGCGTGTGTGTTTATGCGACTACGTGCTTATGTGGAGTGAATTATTGTTGTCCACTGCATTAGGACCCGAGTGAGTTAGCTTCGACACATTTGTAAATGTGTTAATCTCTTTTGTTACCTTCATTAAGATGTTAGAACGTGGACGCGGTGATGGTAGGCCTAGGAGGCATGAGGTGCCTTTACCGAGTGAAATTTCGGCACAGGAAAAAGGGGTTGGTCAGGCCAACGTGGCCGAACCAATTGGTCAACAGGCCATAAGCGCCTTAGCCCACCAAATGGCCGGAGCATTGCGGGAGTCTATGGCATTCTCAGAGCTGAAAATCAAGTACAGGCCCAAGTAGCTGAGGCAGACCCGTCTTTCTTGAAAAGGGAGTTTTTTCGATCGAATCCGGATGAGTATGTGGGTGATCCCAAGGAGCCACTGAAGGCAAATGAGTGGCTAGAGCAAATAGTGAAAACGTTCGAGATGCTTGACATCGAGGACGACTAGCTGAGAGTGACCTTGGCATTCTTCCAGCTAAAGGGAGATGTGGGTCAGTGGTGGAAATATGCACGTGGGCACATTGGGATAACTTGGGAGGCTTTTGTTAGCGCCTTCCAGGACAAATTTTTGCCTCCCACTGTTAAGGAGAAGTTGAGGGATCAATTCTCCAAGCTTGTATAGCTGAACACTCCAGTGGCCAAGTTTGAAGCCATATTTACCAGATTGTCGAGATTTGCACCCGAACTCATGGCAACCGAGGAGCGCCGTTGTTTAGAGTTCGAGAAGAGATTGAGGACCGGGCTAATGTTCAAAGTGGCCGGGTCGATGATTAGAGATTACGGGCGCCTTGTGAAGACGGCGGCTCATCTTGAGACCATAATGGACATGGACGAGGAGAAAATAAGGGGCTTCAAGAAGAGTTAAGATATTCAGGGAAACAGTAAAAGATAGAGGAGTCTTACCCCATAACAGTCCCAGGGAGCTCAGTCGAGGTTTACTTTTCTAGTACCGAGTTCAGGTTCTGGAAAAGGTTGTCGGGGAGATTTCCGGGGTCGCTATAACATGGACGAGGAGAAAATAAGGGGCTTCAAGAAGAGTTAAGATATTCAGGGAAACAGTAAAAGATAGAGGAGTCTTACCCCATAACAGTCCCAGGGAGCTCAGTCGAGGTTTACTTTTCTAGTACCGAGTTCAGGTTCTGGAAAAGGTTGTCGGGGAGATTTCACTTGTTACAAGTGTGGTCAGTTGGGCCATAAGTCTCCAGCTTGCCCGCAGAGAGGAGGAGGGCAACGGTTCGCATCGTCTTTGGCTCGTCCTCAGAGCCAGAGTCAGGAGAGAGGGCAATAGCTCACTTGTTATCAGTGTGGGCAGACAGGTCACATGAAGAGATTTGCCCTCAGTTGGGTGGCACACCTGGTGCGTCTGGTTCGAGGCAGATATAGAGCCACCAGTCTACACAGTCAGCTCAGGCCTCAAGGGCGAATTAAGGAGCCTCTTCGACTCAGTCAGTGCATCAGGCTTATGCTCCGAGGGGTGAGCAAGTTGAGAAGAGACCTACAAGGCATATGTATGATGTTACTGTGCCAGATCTAGTACCAGCGCCTTCGGTAGTGAGAGATACCTTATTGTTTTGCAATTCAGTTGCTAATGTATTGATTGATACGAATGCATCCCATTCATTTATCTCGTCTACATTTACACTGGTTTTGGGATTAGAGTTAGCTCAGTTAACATCTCATATCTGTGTAGAGTCACCTATTAGTGGTGAGATTGTTTTGTAACAGATGTGTCGGGGTTATGACATAAAGGTCACCGGTCGCCGACTCCCTTTTGCGTTTGTATTGATTGACATGTCTAGTTTTGACGTTATTTTGGGTATGGACTGGTTGTCATCCTATCAGGCTGTTATAGACTGCTACCGTCAGAAGATTACTGTATGTACCTTAAGCGGTGATTGTTTTTATTTCTTGGGAGACTGAGTTGATAGAGTCTTATCACCGGTGTATGATCCGTGTGGGCAGAGTGAACTTAGTTGCCTTGCCAACTTCTTAAGCATTGAGTATGTGAAGCCCGAGTTGAGTTGCCAAGGGTAGTTTGTGAATACCCGGATGTTTTTTCGGAGAATCTTACAAGTTTACCGCCTCACCGAGAGATCGAGTTCTCCATTGATTTAATGCCTGGCACAACACCGATTTCTATGGCGCCATATAGATTTGCGTCTACTAAGTTGAGTGAGTTGAAGATTCAACTCCAGGAATTGTTAGATAAGGGTTTTATCCACCCTAGTACTTTACCTTGGGAAGCATTGGCTCTTTTTGCCAAAAAGAAAAATGGTACGTTGCGACTTTGTATAAACTACCAGAAGTTGAATCGGGTAACTGTCAAGAATAAGTACCCAATGCCTCGTATAGATGATTTGTTTGATCAATTGAAAGGGTCTTGTTGCTTCTCTAAGATAGACCTGAGATCGGGTTATCACCAATTGAGAGTTAGGGAGGAGGATATCCCGAAGACGGCATTCCGTACGCGGTATAGCCATTACGAGTTTCTAGTGATGCCCTTTGGGCTAACCAATGCACTAGTTGTGGTTATGGATTTGATGAACCTGATCTTCCGTGAGTTCCTGGACCGTTTCGTGGTCGTCTTTGTGGATGACCTCTTAATTTACTCACCCTCTAAGGAGGAGCACGAGGAACACTTGCGAGTGGTACTTGAGTCTCTTAGAGCCCAGAAACTATATGCTAAGTTCGAGAAATGTGAATTCTGGTTGACAGAAGTTATGTTCTTAGGCCATGTAGCTTCCAGAGAATGGATGATTGTAGATTCACCCAAGATAGAGGCAGTGCAAGATTGGGGACAACCTAAGAATGCTTTTGAAATTCATAGTTTTTTGGGATTGGTTGGGTATTACCGTCGGTTCGTGAAGGATTTCTCTAGATTAACCTCATTATTGACTAGATTGACGAGGAAATGAGTCAAGTTTGTATGGAGTGAGACTTGTGAGAATTCGCTCCAAGAGCTTAAGGTTAGACTTACCACTACTCCAGTTTTGATTATTCCAGAGAGGGTTTTGGGCTATTCGGTGTATTGTGATGCTTCACGAGAAGGTTTGGGTTTTGTTTTGATGTAAAAGGGGAAGGTAGTAGCCTATGGCTCGCGGCAGTTGAAAACACATAAGAGGAACTACCCTACTCATAACCTAGAGTTAGCAGCAGTCATCTTTGCCTTAAAGATTTGGATGCATTATTTGTATGGTGGGACATTTGAAGTGTTTTCTGATCACAAGAGTCTGAAATATTTATTTACACAAAAAGACTTGAACCTGAGGCAGAGGAGGTGGATGGAGTTCATAGAGAATTATGACTTTGAGTTACATTATCATCCGAAGAAGGCCAATGTTGTGGCCGATGCATTGAGTAGGAAATCTATTAGCAGTCTAGCTTGTATTGCCATCCGAGAATGGAAAATATTGGGTGCTATCGGTGAATTTGATTTGCATCTTGGCGAGTCCGCTGAGCCAGTAGCCCTGTTTTCAGTAGTTGCACAACCTACACTTGTGAATCGAGTGATAGAGGCACAGAAGGGTGACCTTGAGGTAGAATCCCTCTAGGAGAAGATTTCTAGTGGGAAAGTGGAGATAGGCTTAAATGTGTATCCCGGTTCGAGTATTAGATACCATGACCGCCTTTTCATGCCGGAGTCTTGTCAAGAGGAAGCACTCCGAGAGTTTCACCATTCAAGCCTTGCATTGTATCTGGGAGGCACAAAGATGTATCACGTCCTTTGTCGCCAATTTTGGTCGAGGGGCATAAAGAAGGATGTGGTTGTGTTTGTATCGAGGTGTCTTACTTGTCAACATGTGAAGGCCGAGTATTAGAGGCCAGCAGGTTTGTTGCAACCCTTGTCTATAGCCGAGTAGGAACATGTCACGATGGATTTTGTTGTGGGTCTTTCGAGGACTCAACGGGGTAGTGATGTCATTTGGGTGGTAGTTGACCGGTTGACTAAGTCGGCACACTTTATACCTATGCATGTGAGTGACTCGGTAGATCATCTTCCCGACCTCTACATTAGGGACAT